TAGTTTTTGTTTCTTTAACTCTTTACTTATACTTTTTGTCTCTTTAACTCTTTACTTATAGTTTTTGTCTCTTTAATTCTTTACTTATAATTTTTGTCTCTTTAACTCTTTACTTATAGTTTTATGTTTCTTTAATAATTTACTTATAGTTTTTGTCTCTTTAACTCTTTACTTATAGTTTTCGTCTCTTTAACTCTTTACTTATAATTTTTGTCTCTTTAACTCTTTACTTATAGTTTATGTTTCTTTAACTCTTTACTTATACTTTTTGTCTCTTTAACCCTTTACTTATAGTTTTTGTTTCAACACTTTACTTATACTTTTTGTCTCTTTAACTCTTTACTTATAGTTTTTGTCTCTTTAACACTTTACTTATAGTTTTTGTTTCTTTAACTCTTTACTTATTTTAGTTTCTTTAACTCTTTACTTATAGTTTTTGTTTCTTTTACGCATTACTTATAGTTTTTGTCTCTTTAACTCTTTACTTATAGTTTTTGTCTCTTTAACTCTTTACTTATAGTTTATGTTTCTTTAACTCTTTACTTATAATTTTTGTCTCTTTGACCCTTTACTTATAGTTTTTGTTTCAACTCTTTACTTATACTTTTTGTCTCTTTAACTCTTTACTTATAGTTTTCGGCTCTTTAACTCTTTACTTATAGTTTTCGTCTCTTTAACTCTTTACTTATACTTTTTGTCTCTTTAACTCTTTACTTGTACTTTTTGTCTCTTTAACTCTTTACTTATAGTTTTTGTCTCAACTCTTTACTTATACTTTTTGTCTCTTTAACTCTTTACTTATAGTTTTTGTCTCTTTAACTCTTTACTTATAATTTTTGTCTCTTTAACTCTTCACTTATAGTTTTTGTCTCTTTAACGCTTTTTTTGTAGTTTTTGTTTCTTTATCTCTTTACTTATAGTTTTTGCATGTTTAACTCTTTATTTAGGCCCTATTTACACGGACACCATGGGGGAAACGTAGGTTTTTTTCGTATATTAATTAGAGGAAAAGATTTGCGTTGACACGGT